GCCCTTTAATTTCCACCTTCTTTGATGCATGCTAGTTTCAGGTATGAAGTGTGAAGCTGAATGTTTAAAATAATATGTCTTTATGACAGAGAGAAATTGCACAGTTTGAGAAATTATACAGTTAAAAAAAAGGGACAAAATAGAACAAAGTTAAAAAAAAATGAATATTTTTGAATAAGAGACTTTTAGCAAGATAAGGAACTTTAATGATTTTATAAATGTTGTGACGTCAACCCCAACAAACTTCCACTTTAGGCTCATTTCATACGTCTGAAGATACCTCTCGTTTAATAGTGTATTGGTGAAAATAATGTGCTGTTGGGTAAGATTTTAACATCTAATTGTTTTGTTCACATAACTTATCTGTGTTTTAGGTCTTTGGCTTTAAGATTATTGGAACAGCAAGGTAGCACTTTATGAGTGACGCGACAGTGGAGACGATAGATTTCTGCAGAATGTAGCACAGAGTGGGTCTGATCAGCAAGTAATGAAAGGTTTAGGTAAAATAGAACAACTTTAGATAAAAATCCTTCAGGTTTTCCAAGAGAGAAGTCAACGAGTTAAACTTGTTTTGTGTTTTTTGCCATTTTAAGTCAAATAATTTGAGAAGCTTCTGTGATTTTTGTCAGTTACAAGATTAAATATTTTCAGTATTTAGTGAAGAAATTGGGAATCCTTTATTGTAGAATTTATAGTATAAAGATATGTTATATAGTTAAAGTTAGGATGTATGTAGTTGTAGTTTTTAACTATATAGAAGTAGGAATTTATTCCTTGAGAATTTATGCCATGCAAGTCGATTAGATTTTATTCCCTTTCTGTGATATAGCCTACTGCATTTTGACCTTAAGAAAAGCCTGATTGACGCAGTATATGTAGAACATATCTATTTTTTTTAGTCTATAGTTGTTTAGTTATACCTTTTTTTTTATCCAGTCAAAAGTTTAAAACTACCTAAAATTATTAAAGGGCAGTCAGAGCGGTCTGGGTCATTAAACCTAATTTGAATTGGCAGCAACCACCACTGCTCTAATACTGTCCCATGGATGTCTTCCATCTTCTAATGTTTACTCTTTATCATTATTGAGGAAATTTGGCAGTTTAGGTAAATGTGAAATAGAAGAATTTAAAACATAACGGATAAAATCTTTTATTTATCAAATTTGAACCATTAGCTTCCGACATCACTTGCAGAAATTGTGGGTTAACTTCAACCATCAAAGCCTTAAATTATCGTGTTTACAGATTAGTTATAAATAAATAAAGTTAAATCCAAACCAAAAGTCAAACAGAATTACTTGGATGCAATGACATTTGACTGATACAAGGTGGTACGCAAACATTCAGGTGTAGCTTAGGTCTCAGGTACAGCCATCAGGTGTTGGTACTGAAAGTTTTTGTTGTTGGAGCTATAACATTCCTAACTTCAATTACATCACTAATACTGATGATTAAGAGACATGATCAAAGATGAGCTAAACAGACGTCTGAACAGAAGCTTCCAGGATAATGGCTTGGCTGGAGCAGTCTGCTTTAGTTTAGCAATGTTTTATTGTGTGTTTCACCAAAGTTGATTGCACTACATAATGCTGCCCATACTTTGCTGGAACTTGTGTGTTCGCTGAATGTTCTGTGAAAATGCTTCACACTTTCCTGAAACTTTTCCAGAATTGAGAGTTTACATTTAAAGATTTACCAGATCATTTCCAGGCTTTGAGGTTTTTGGTTACTTTCCTGGAACTTGCTTTCTTCGATCTTAACAGCTACTTTCTGGATCACACGCAACACTTTTAAGTTGTGGGTTACTTTCCAGGAACTTGTTAACTACTTTCTAGGAACTAGTTTCTTACGTTGTAGGAAATTGGGGAAAAGGACTTCTTGAAAGTTCTAGGAAAGTAACTTCATATTCCTTGGGAAGCACCTAGTTAATTATTAGTCGCGTCGTAATATTGTCATTTTCTTTAAAGCATCCAGTCAGGTCTGGATAGATTACCAGTAACCTCCAAGAAAGGGTTCAGAAAAATCCTTGTTTTGACAAGTTCTGGAAAAGATGGGATGCGTTATGAAGTGGAGCCATAATTGGAGACTCTCAGAGGGAAATTGCTATGATATGTGGAGTGGATGTTGGGGAAGACTGCACATCTATTTACTAAAAAGAAAGCCGTAATTGTTTTTGTATATCTTTAAACACTTATAATGCTGTTTAGATATTTGTATGTGAAATGTTTCTACAGATGCCAGCTATTTTCAACCCAGCATGTGCTGCATGTACTTTAATGCTGCTACTGCAGCAAACACGTTTTCCTATAATCGGTGTTTGTTTACAGACCTATTTAAAAATCACACTAAAGGGAAAGGTGCATGTTGCAGCAATAACATGAAAACTGGAAAGCAAAAAAAGCAAAAATATTTTTAAACGATAAGGGTTTTTAAGGTCTAGTGTATCAAAATTTTTAAATCTATTAGCAATGGTTTAAAAATGAAATGGCCCTCAGCACTGAGGTCACTGAAAGATCTCTGGCCATTTCAACAAACATATCAGATCTATATTTCTATGCGTCGAACAAGACAAAAGAGGCTGCCTTTGTAAATGCCTGATTAAATATTTTGTACATTTATTAAACTCATGTTGTTCGTAATGGAATTAATTTTCCTAGCTAGGATTTATTTTTTCATGTTTACTGTCTCATGGTACTGCAGTGTATTAATTTATTACATGAATGTTTTGTAACGATGATCTCAACTGTAATGGTGCAAGTGTTTTGTGCCCACATTATTGCATTGCTGCGCATTTCAAATAAAAAGAAATTATATATTTAAACACTTTGGATTGTGTGCTTTATTTTGTGGGATACAGTTTGTCTGATTTTATAAGATGAATTTGTATATTTATACAAAATAAAACTATAGTTTGAACTTTGCAATATTTCTGGTTCAATTGTTTACATTACCGCTCTTGTTTACGTCTTTGTTAAGCACCCTATACATTACCAAGCATTACAGTGTCGCCAGGTAACTATGAATCCATTCAAGCATTAGGAGAAATAAATGCAAAGTATTTTTTGAACCAATGGAAGAATGTTTACAACTTGGCTCACACATGCTCTTATTACAGCTAGAAACCACAAATCAGACTGGAAATCTTAGTGTAGGGACGGAGTCTGACCTGAACCTTCAGAGACTATTAAAGATAGTGGATTACTGCAACGTTTTTATAGGTTTCCCTAAAAAGTTGAACAGACAACTACAGCTGGACTAGAATGGAGCTGCCGGCATCCTCGCTAAAACTAAGAAAGTGTATAACACAGAGAATATACTTTAAAATGCTTCTGTTAGCCTACAAATTACTCACCATCTTAGCACCAATACGCATCACAGACTGTATCAACTGCTCAGATCTCTCATGTCTTCTCGATCAAATTTACCTAGAGCCAAAAATGGAGGAGCAGCATTTAGTTCTTATGCTGCACAAATCTGTAACAAACTCCCAGAAAACTGTCCTTAAGAGAAGGTTATTGGCTGCAATCTCCCATCTCTCCAGGATCTGTACGCCTCCAGGACTCTGAGGCGTGCAGGGAAAATTGTGGCTGATCCCTCCCACAAACTATTTCAGACACTTCCTCTGGCAGGAGGCTGCGGTCCATGTGGCTCGCGCCACAAGAACAGTTTCTTCCCATCCGCTAACAGCCTTATCAGCAAGGCCCAGATACCCCCATGACACTGACACAGCCTCTCTGCCTCCCCCATTCAGGACCTTGAAGCTACACTAACGTAGAATCTCCAGACTTCCTGTTACATTAACACACAGTCTACTGTGTAGAGTATGTGGCTATACACAATATCTTGTATATTATATATAGCTATAGATTATGTATTCTCTATATATATCTATTTTGTCTGCACCAAGTCAAATTCCCTGTAAGTGCAAACCTACTTGGCAATAAATGTGATTCTGATTAAGTGGCTTTAAATAAAGATTAAAAATCTTTTTGTTTATTGATCTTTAACTGTTCTAACTAAACCTCAAGTTTTTATTCTAAATATAAATTTTTTTATCAGTCTTTTTCTTTTTACACATATATAATCTAATTTTGGTTATTCATATTCTCTTTAATTATTTGGGTTGCCTTCATCTTTATAGCTCTACAAAGGGCTTTTTTTCTGTACAGCATTTTAAATTGTTTTGCCACTTAAATGTGCTGCATATATAAACTGAGAGTTGAACTTAATAACTGCAAAGTTAAAAACTTTATCTGAGGTATAAATCTGTTTTTCTTGCAAACTGCCAGTACAAGGGGAAATGGTTGCATTAATTTGACATGATTAACCTAAAGATTATCAAGCAAGTGATCCACTGTCACCCTCTTGTGGAAAACCGAAGCATCTTTAGTTTCATCCAGTTAACAAGCTTAGCATGCTGGGAAATTTTCAAAATGCATATTATGATGAGCTTTTTATCTAAGATGACACCCAGATAGTTAAAGGTGGTTGCAACATCTTTAAATGTGTAAATGCATGAAATCAGTTTTATAATAACATGAAACACTCAGCGGTGCACATAATGATTTATATAAAACTAATATAATATATCTCTATCATTGGGTAAAGTATACTATATATACATTTTAAATTAGTCATCCATGGCTTGATTATTTCCCAGAGTATAATTATTATATTATTATAATTATTATTCAGCACCAAGGCCAAATTGTCTCAGCAATTAGAAAAGACAATAGATAAAAAAAAATACATTAATTAATTAAATAAAAAGACAATAGAACATAGTTTTTCCAATATGTAATATGTTTTTCTTTTGTTTTTCTTATTGTGTGTGAGTTAGAAATACCAAAAGGAGGAAAAACTGTAAGAGGAAAGATTTCCTAGAACTCCTTGTTGGAGAATAACAACAATATGTAGCCTGTTAGCATCTGCAAAACATTTAGACATCAACAAAGATCAACAACTGTTTGGAAGACATGCCAGGAAAAACCATCCTTCCATGTTCTACTGTCATTAACACATACATTTAAATTAAACAATTTAAAGGTGGAGGATGTTTGCAGGTCTGAAACTGACTATGTAAAGTTCAGAAGGTAGCCTACATTTAGTAAAGAACAAAAATGTCAAGTTTCTGCTGAAAGTGATGCAGGCTACCTTTATCCCTGATGTTTACACGTATCCATCACCATCAGATAACATTCAGAACATGAAGAGAAATTTTTTTTTTAATTTTTCAAAGAAACAAAAGACTCAAAAAAAAAAAAGGGGGAACATGGGCAGTAAATATCTCCAGTTGGATTAATATTGTTACTGTTGGATGTCTTTAATATATTCCTACAAAAGTTGTCCAGCTGCTTCATTTTCCGGACCATCTCATGTTCTTCTTGGATCTTTCACTTGAGGCGTCTCTTCCTTTAGACACACCAGAGTGACTGATGCAGGATCCACTCTGGTCAGGATCTAGAACCTCCTGACTGAGCTGTGAGGGTAAATTGTTCATCATCAGGTCACAGGTTGGTGTCTGTGAACATGGTGTGCTCTTTTCTCACGGTGCTGAAGCCTTTGATGGTGTCCACAAATTCCTCATCCTCCATAAACTGTAACAGGGGAATGGGCCACATTGCACATTATGTTCAGGTAAAGTATTCTTCTTTATAGTTTTTTTTCAAACCGAGATTTTTTTTCTGCTTTTAATCATTTAAGAGAATGTTCAATAGGCCTACATTTTTGGGGTCTCTTACCATCCCACTGTCATGGGCTGAGATGTTCGGGTCCCAAACATCGTCATCTCCTGTGAGAGACTTCCCGTCTATCATTTGGCTGATGCTACGTCGCAGAGAGTTCACACTAAGGACTCCCAATTCTTCCCCTGTATCCATCCCTTCGGTCGGCTCACATTTAGCCTCCAGAATTTCCTGAAGCCAAAAAAAAAAGGGAGAATCCAAGGTCACCCTCTACTTCCTTAGCCTGATGTTTTGGAAATCATTAGGGCTGAAACAATTCATCAGATTAATTGTGATTTATTTTAATAATCGTCAACCAATTTAGTAATCGATTAATCATTAAATGGAGTTAAGAGACTCTGAAACATACCTTTAGCTGACAGAGCAACCCACTTAAAGCAGTAAATATATCGAAATTCTAAAAATATATATAAACATTTTGCATTTAAGGTAAAAAACGTTGTCGTCTGTCAAAATGCTCTACAGTAAACTTCTCACGTGGAAACGTTTTAGTTTCACCTGCTGTAATTTCATAAAAAATATTCTTTAAGGAACCTTTGGTGCTCGGATTATCAGATAACAGATTAATCGATTTGCAAAATATTCGTTAGTTGCAGCCCTGGTAATCACGCAAATTTTCTTGGCTTAAATATTTGCATTTACTTTTTTCATCTTGATAAACGCAAAATGTTGAAGTTTCACAGCAATTTCAACCAATTAATAACATTTTAATTTATACTTCCAATATCTGTGATATTGTGATATGTTGATTTTGTTCAGTGTTTTGCAGTAGAAATATGATTGGAAAAGCTAAAGCATATTTAAATAAATTTGGTAAAATACAAACCATTTTAAAAAGGTTCTTAATGCAAAACAATTAAATTCTAGCAAATTGTCAAGAGTATTTTACTTTAAACTTGTGATCAAGGATTTAAATCATGTTTAGATTTCATTTCCTTCGGATAAAAGCATTTTATTTTCACAAAGCGCACACTCTGTTTTTGTTTTTCTACAATGTATGTAAACATAATAGATTTCCAGGGATCATAAAACGTTAATGTTTTAAATTTATACTTTTACACTTCACATTTTTATTTTTACAATGCTTTAGAATAGGTTTAGATTTCTGACTTCTTTTAAACAGAATTGAAAGTCACAAGTAAGAGATTCACACTTTCTGGTTTTCATAGCAGTTTTTGGAAGCTAAATCTTTTTCACCGAAAATAATTTGGTGTGGGGATATTTTTTTATCTGACTTGGTAAAAATAATAATTAATAAGAAATTAAGAAAAATATTGACAAAAGGCTCTGAATGACCTCAGATCTAATTATTATAATTAACAGATATCCCTTGAAATTTTATGGAATTTATTTAGTTTTTGGTTTTGTTCTCATAAAAACTGCTGAGCTTAGTGTGCATCATACCTTCAAATAATTACAAATGAAAAAAAAAAGTATTATGATGAATTTACTGTAAGGTAGTTTCAAAAGATTAATATGCTTAAAAGTGGGATAAAATAATTACAATATACATATAACATTTCTAGTTTGGTTTATTGTATTGTAATTTTGCCTGAATAGAAATTAATATGTTTGGATTATAAACGGCCTTTTAAGAGCTATTAAGTTTGACTGTTTCTGCACTTGATGATACTAGATCCAATTTTAACTTCTTAAAATGTAAATCATATTAATGTATAAATTTTGACACCCTCTACATTTCTTTATTATTACATATAATTGCCCTTTGAATAAAGTCTGATCAGTTTTTGCATCAAGAGCAAACAATGGATTTCTGTAAATCCCTCTCTGCAATCAAAATAACATACACCCAATCAGTCCATAAGAAAGGATATTCTCAGCACTTGAGATAAAGATGCAAAGTCTGTAAAAACAGTAACATCTGTGCCACCTGCTACATCAGATTGTACACACAAAATGCCATTTGGATTATGTTTCTGAGACTTTTACCTCAATCTTCATGGAGAAGCCCTTTAGGGTCACACTGCTGGAGAAGGCGGTGGTGTCAGGCACCGTGTCAAACTAAAACAGGGAGAAAATAACACCGACAGTTGCTCATAGACATGGATGCATCTTGTTCCTTAGTGATGGATTTTCATAAAGTCAAGTGAGAATGCATTCTCTAGAAATAAGGCTGAATTCCTAAAGTTATTTATAAATATAGGAATCAGTTTGTAAAGACTCAGGGATGTGCCTGATGGCCTTTTGTCACCACTTTCTGGGCCACTGAAATAGAGCAGGGCTATTGTTTTAAAGGTAACAGAATTTACTGATAGTGTTGTAAGCTGTGGTGACCTAGTTTCTACACTGCTTTTGTAGATCAGAGAATAAAGACCCAAGGGAAAAGTTTTCCTTACCAAGACAGAGTTGCTGGGTGGGTACACAGCCATGGGACTCCTCTTCTGCATGGGGAGGGCAGTTAAAGGAGGTCTCTCCCTCGTCAGGGGTGGTTTATTCAGGGCCTGGTGAAACAGGAAGGAAAGTCTTGTTTCTGCTACCATCTAAAGGTTTTTTAAAATGCTGTGCTAAAGGAGGAGAACAGAAATGGTGATTCTACCCTATGAAGCATGACTCCTAGCAGGACGGCCAGAAGCAGCAGGGCGATGGAGGCCATCACCACAATAAACCAAAGCTCCTGGACAACCTGTTGCTCTCTGAGGTCTCCTTCTGCCCTGTCACCACCGACAACGCCTCCGCCTCCTCCAGGAGGAGTGGGGCTCGGTGAATCTGGAATATAGGACACTAGTAAGTGCAAAAGTCTTAAACAGTCCTAATGTCTTTATTCTTTGCTTCCAAGAATCAGACTATCTCCTTTACTTTATGGAGGAGTCTTGATCGGTTCCAGACCTTATAAAGGGCTTTCAAAACATAATTTTCATTTCCCCTATCCTGTCCTTCCACCAGACAATGATACACTATATTGCCAAAAGTATTTGCTCACCT